CCTGGGCAAATACCACAAAGACCTTCAGTTCTTGTACTCGAAGGTCAAAGCCTGACTGCGAGTCTGTTTTTCAGCGAATGACCCAGCACTTCGAATGACCAGATCCTCTTCCCTACAGCATGAAGCCAAAACCCATTCTGGAGCCCACACCTAGTCTCCCCAACCAGCCAGCCAAAAACCTCAGCACCAAGGCACAAGGGGGCTGGAGATAATCAAGATGAAGAAAAGGGAGAGAGGCAGCGAGGAAGATGGCGGGGCACTGGGCCCCCTAAATCCTGGAGGATGCTATTGAGAGCTAGCTGATCCATGAGACAAGGAAGTGCTCTTTCAGCTGCCAGCTTTCTAGCCATGTTGCATTTTTGCAACCATGAACACAATGGGGATGTCAGTGCTGGTATTTGTTCAGGTCCTTCAACCAGAACAACCTAAGTTAACTGCCATCTCTCCCTAAGCCCAGGTAGCCAGAGATGAGATGTCCCCCTACAGGCTACAAGTGGGAGGGCAACCCACGTGGCCTCTCATCTATGTCTTTGTCAGACCAGTAAGAGACGACCCTGAACTCGTCCTGACACCATGGAGGCCAGTGAGCATGAACTAGTGGGCTACTGGTCACACCAGTCATTTCAAAGCTGACAGAATTTCAGGAATGAAATTCTTCCAGCACACAGCTGGAGGTCATTTTCTGGCCAATCCTTACTTCAACAGCAATCTCTTTATTCTTTTTGGATTATGGCCCTTCCCAGTGCCATGAGCACAGAGGGTAGGGGAGGCTACAAAAGAGGGATGCCCATGCAGAAAAAGGCGGGGTGATCATCAAGCCCCCAACCACTACCCCATGTCATGAGGCCAGTGCCACACCTGAGCCCACTGGCCCCACAGTCCATGTCCAAAGGCAGAGGTTCATACCAAACCCTCCTCCAGCTCATGTGTTCAGTAAAGTTGGAGACTCTGGTGACTTCAGTGAGCCCTGCTCCAAGTTGATCACCTGAACTTGCCTCATTTGGAAAGGACAGAGAGACAGGACATGCACTCTGCCCTCTAGAAGTCACCCGGACAATTCTCCCACCACTAACAGCTTCTTAAACTGGCACAGCTTCTTAAAATCCTCACTTTCACATGATTCACCACTATTGCTAAACTCATCACACAAGCCACAAGGCTGTCTCCAAGTGAATGGCCCTCGCCCGACACAACTGTCAGCTCTAACCCCCCACATGATAATGTCCAAGGGCAGCATGGACCAAGCCCCATGTCACAATCACCTGTGAGACCCAAGGACCTACAGAGAGGACTTGCCCAAGAAGCGTAAGCCTGGGAGGGGTAGAGGACTCTCCAAGAAGCCCCAAAGGCTGTCCTGGGGAACAGGCACAGAGACAGGGCCCCAGGAAGGATGGCAGGTAGAGCCTAGACAGACAGACAGACACAGAAATCGGAGACTGTCCATGACAGAACTACCCCTGCTTCCAGCTCCCAGCCCCGCCCTCAGTCCCACTCATCTCTCACCCAGAAGGTGGTTTCTGCCCCACCTTCATCCCCAACTGTCCCCAAGACAGTGAGAGAAACCTGTAAAATCATCAGTCCTCTCCTGCCACCCTCTGCTCAGTGTCTGCCAATGTGCAGGTCCCCTGATGAGCTGCTCAGCCAGCCAGCTTCTTGTCCCTACAGTGCTCCTTCATGACTCCAACAGAGCTCCCCAGGCTGGCCTGGAGTTCTTGACTTCTAACTCTCCAGAGAAGAAGCCCCAAAAGAAGCAGGGGCCCCCCCAGTACCCCAGGTCAGCACTATACCCTACACAGAGCACAGCCAATAAAGGTTTACCAAGGAGTAAGTGACTCTCTGTCACAGCACTGCAAAGCACCTTAGTTTTTGAATTTTGAAATCAATTGCACTAACTATGCCTCTAAAAATCCTCAAGTTCAACATAGCACAACAATATAGAACAAGGGCCAGGACCTAGGATGTCTGGTACTTTAACACACTCATTCCTATTTCCTAGAGGCTGAGTCTCTTCACATCAGGGTAGTGACAAGGTGAGGTGCCAGGTCATTCCCTGGAGCAATGGTCATGGCTGAACACCTCGCTCAGCGAGGTGGACAGCAGGACACAGGTCTGGGGAGGACATAGGTCTGAGAGGCAGCTGTGGTATTTGGCCCAAGTGGCTGTGTGGCACTCCAAAAAAGATAGGCATGCCCCAGCACTGCTGGGTACCACACCTCCTACACACCACACAAGACAGCTTAGAGGCAACCCATAACCCCAAATCCGTCCCCTCCTAGTCAAAGCCAATTGCCAGGTGACATTCCAGTCAGTGCCAGGAACACTGGTTTGACACCTAGCCTGAGTGACCAGTCGTGGTCAAATGGGTAGAACTCAGGCTCCTGCCTTGAAGGGACTTCCTGGCACTCCCAGATAGCTCCCCTTAGAAAGCTGGGTAAGGAGCTGGGTTATCCCAGGCATAGGCTCACCCCCAGAAAGGGGCTGCTCCCCCATGTGCTCAGTTGGGGAAGCTGCTGGATAAATCTGCAGCAAAGATTCAGTCACTGTAAGTCACAAGGATTGCAGGGACCCTCTTACAATACCCCAAAACAGGACGCACTAGAGGAACATGAGAGATGGCAGGTGAGACACAGAGCCTTTTTACTGCAAGCTTCAGGCTCTCGCAGGTACTATGGCATCCAATTCTAGGACTGTCGTCCCGGGACGATAGGAAGTTTCCTTGTAAAGGAAATATTCAGGGAAGAAAGGAGGCCCGGGGTGCAGCACAGGTGGGACCACACCTGAGAGGGCTGGCAGGCTGGCTAGCAGCATGATCTGGTTTCTGCTTCCTCTCCACCAAGATTTATTGGTCAGATGTAAACGGGGGGGGGGGGGGGTGTGCACGCAGGGTGATGGATACAGAGAAACACACCATTTTTTTTTAACTCCTTAAAGTATAAAATTCCCAAAAATAAAAAGTTACAAAGTCAAACTTTAAAAAGTAAATTGAGCTACAGAATATAAAGTAAACAACAGGACACATAGTAGCGCACCTGGAAAGAGTCTCTGGGTCACCCAGGAACTGCTGAAGATTGAGGAAACTCACAGATCATGTCACACACCTTTCTTGCCACAGAGGGTGGGGTCTCAGCCAGAAAGATTTTGACCTCTGACCTGCCTCCTGTCACTCAGCATCGGTCTCATTCTGGCCTCAGGGCTCTCCACAGACAGTGCCCCTTGGTGACTGGTACCAGGAGATGCCTCCAGGCAGAGGAAGCACAGCGACTGGACCCTACCAGCCCACACAGGTGGAAATGAATCTGAACTGACCAAAACTCCCCTTAGATATATACAGATCAGGTCAAATACCTCAATAAATAAGAAATAAGGAGTTAACACCTCCCCAAAACATCCCAGGAAGGTGTTAAGGTATGTCCTTTCTCTCGCCTCTACTTTGCCCCGTCCAGCAAGTACCACAGACCCCCTGGTGAGCCCTCAGCCCCTTTGCTCTTCCTGCCCTTCATTCCTGGTTTCCCATCTCAAGGTCCAGCTCAGAACTGGTTTTGCCTGGAGGGGTCTCCTGGGCATAGAGGTCCTCCCAGACCACATGTCCCCAGCCTGGCATTCTCAGCTTAGAGGGAGATGAGGGAATGGCAGCCCTTCACTAGCCCTCCACTTTCAGAGCACTTGGGGCGAGTTTCTCAGCACCTCTGGAAATGCAGCACCATGAAGGACTGAAGGCACCTTTCACCCGGGTGCAGCCGTGGACTTCACGGGAATGCGAGTTGGTGGGTGTCCATGGCAGCATGTCTTCAGCGGGCCTAGCATTTACACCCCAGTGGGCATCCTAAGGGAGGCAGCTGAGAAAATTGGGAGAATTCAGTGGGTATCTCTGCCCTATGAGCAGAAACCCCTTGGGGTTCCTGCTGCAGATACTAAGCTAGGACTTGGGTCTAGCACTGGCCAACCTGAGCAGGCCCTGTCACATCCTGGTTGCCAAGTTCCCCACATGTGAACTAGTGAGACCAGAGGCCACAGCCTATGCTTAAGTGTCACTGGCCCAGCCACCATCAAAACCTGAAAGGCAGTCTCCTGTCTGGATCAGGAACTACCCACCACCACATGCCCCTCTCTTTACCCCAGTCCCATTCCTGGATCCTGAAGGCTGGATCTGGGAGGGCACACAGGCTGGACAGCCCTTGGCGGGTCCTTTGAGGCCCAGACACATGAGAACCTGTTGGAGCAGTCTGGGCACCGCATCAGCTCCTCTTCCTCCTCCTCCATCTACTTCTGGGTGGAAGGGACCTGGCTTTTGAAAACTAGCCACAGAGCCTGATCATGGCCACTGAAGGGCCAAGCCATACCTCCCCCCACCCCATCTTCCTCCTAGAGCATAAGGTCAAGCCAAAACCAGGGTGTCCCCTCCTGGAACAGGGGAGAGGGGCGAACAGGGAAACGCGATGGCCAGAAAGGAGGCGGCAAAACCACAACACCCCCCACCCACACACGGACACTATTCTGTCACCCACACTCCCGCCGGGGACGCGCAGGCCAGCCCGGTGTAAAAGCCCGGGGAGCGTGGTGGGGTCCCGAGCCCCAGGCCAGGCGGGGGAGAGGGCTCGCGGCGGCAACCTCTCTGGGCCCCACGTCCCCCCCAGCCCGCCCG